CAAGTTGGTGGCAGAACTTCTACAGCGTTCCAGTGGGACTGACACGCAGGAAGCGGATGTAAGCCAATCAAGCCCACACTCTTTTAGAGCTAGCGTTCCATTGGTGTTTGCAGTCATTTTCGGCGAAAAATCTCGTCTGGGCATATGCGTTCCATTGGGATCAGCTCCGTGACTTGGCATTAAGTAAGTAGTGGCAAGGGATGACTCACGGAGGACTTTGTCAGGTTCTTGTACCCGAGTACAACTAAACTTCGGTTGACGACAGAGATTCGGATCACACTTGAACTCGAGTCATCCAACCTATATACAAGAACCAACAAGTGGCCACCGTGCATCCCCCTTCACACTGCGAACTGGGTTCCCTCACGTTTTCCATCTATCTTTGGTCCACTCCCACCTGGTCCTTAAGCTCACGCAGGCAAACCGAACAAACTCTTTTGTTTACTTCGTGCATATGACTTAATGCATATGAACCAGACAGTGGAGCAGTTGACCGCAGCAGCGCTTTACATTTAGGCTGGCTGCATTGTGGCGAGCGGCTGGTGAGCATATGCATATGGGTAAGCCACCAAGTGGTCTTCGCCGGAATACAACAGAGGCAGGACTGAGAAAAATTTGGCAACCGAAGGAGTAGGTTGTCGGTTGGGTTTGTTTGGTTAACTTGTTCAACGCAGGACAGCTGCCCAGTGTTCTGATTTCCTTGTGACATCTCTTTGTCAAAATCATAGCTGTCTGATAGCGCAGCTTTCCTTTGCCTGCAAGAGTGAATGTGGAATGTCAGTCTCGCCCAGGTGTTGTTGGCACCTTCCCCAGGAGCGTGTTCTGCATTGTGATAAACAGAGAGACCAATTGTACCAGAGATCACTTGGTTGTTCCTTCCGGCCCCTTGTGGGCGCACAAATCCAGGGAAGCGAATCCCAATGGCGCAGACACGCCATGTGCATTTTACCCATCGTTCCTTTTTGGGGCGGCGGTTTGGGCGCTGGGATGGGGGTGGTAATGGCGTGTGTTTGTTAACCAGGCTCCGTTTGCAGCATGGTGTCAGTCTTTTCGGCAACCGTTCTGTCGTTGGCCTATTTCCTTGCGCCTCGTCTCTGGCGTCTTCGGCATTTTTGGCCTACTAATTCTCCGAACATGTCTTCGGATGTAATGTTGTTTGTCTCAGGTCCGAGCGCAGCGTCTGCCCACCAGGGTCCGGAACAACCACGGGGGACTGTGGCAAGCGCGCTGTGTTCCAGGACGTGCTACAGACTTGGAGGACTTTCTACTAAAGGACATCTTTTCTTTATTGAGTGATCAGCCTATTCGCATCTTGCTGGCAAGTGAATGGGAAGATATGATATTTGTGGTTTCCCACAAAGGCACCAAGGGCTGATTGTATGTGCTTGAAGGGGGCGATTGATTCATTTGCAGATGGATTGATGGGAACTCTAGAAGATATGGTCCAATATGGTGTTAGGTAGGTGGAGAATGTAATCTCAACTAAAGTGCTGTCAAAAAAGTTTCTCTTTTGGACCTGTTGGCCCCTGTTGGCCATACCTTTTGGCCTCTGCGTTATAGACTCTACTGTAGACATGTTGCCGTTTTGTGCTAGTAGGCTTCGCGCAAGCTCTTGTAGATTCCCAGAAAGGGCTCGGGAGGCCGCGGGTTTCTCTGATAGATATAATATAATATATTGTTCCAAACATTTCTAAGCCAAGTATTCTAGTCCCACCACAGGTTTGCAGCGATACTTTTGGTTTGTCAATGTCTTTTTTCCTTTGCTAGCGCTTGGGAGTTCCCGCGCCTTTGCCAGCTTCCTGAAGATGCCACTTTCTGGATCAGGCACACGGAAACAACACGGTCTTGCACACTGTTCTGATCCACTTCAACGGTCCAAGGCACTTTGCTCCCGAACAAGCACAGCTGTCGCTGCTACAGGAAGGGTGCAGTCTGGGGATATGTAGAAGTACCATTTTCTGGGCCTGGCGCTGGACTCAGAATTTATGTTCTGGACTCGCCTTTTTCACTGTTCGTTGTGCTGAAGCTTCAAGAAGTCGAGCGGAAAGAGACATCTGCTTGAGGCGACTTTACTTATGTTGATTCTGCTGCCATACGATATGCTGTGGCAAAACACATCCTTCCCAGCTACTTGTGGAGACCCCGTTTGGAGCTGGGCAAAGTCAGAGCTATGCTTGTGGACCGCTGCAGCAAGGAGCCAGTTCAATTGCGGTCTCACACGCCGGAGATTCTTCAGCTTCTCGCGGAAAATTACCTGCAGGAATTCTGGAACGCTCATGTTTCTTTTCTTTACGTGCTGAGTACTCAGCATAGCTAAACTGCATGCCGTAAGATCTATATCCCGAGTATGACTGCAGGATACTGGACCCATCACTATATCAAATTTGTAGGCGCGAATCTTGCGTTTTTTCTCTCTTTGTCTCCTAGTCGCAACTGGTCTCTGGCTGGGGATGAGCTGCCACGTGTGATTGGATTGGACAAGCGTTTGGGCTGGAGGTTGTGTGGAGGTGGCCAAGGTTGCGCTCGGTCCTGTGAGCTTGATTTGGACGAGTCTCGATTTACTGGTCTTGGCTGTTGGGCATTCCTGATCTGGTGGAGCTCCACTCACTGCTCCCAGCTGGCCTCCGCGTGTTGGTTGTTCGTCGACTAGCCCCCGTTAGCCATGGCCCGAAGTTGGTGCCGCGTGACCAAGCTGACAAGGTGGGCCGCTGGAAGAGGAGTCTTGAGTTGCGGGTAGGGAGGCCTGCGCTCAGATTTTTTCAACAATGGTGGCGTGTCGGAGCATTGAGCTGGAGGACACCCTGATCACCACCACGCCTGACGCTGAGGTTGTTGGACTGGTATGGCCGTGAGCTTTACAGATCAGGACGCCCACACGGTCATTGAAAAAACAAAGTCCACGAGTTCGAGCGTTTCTACAGCCCGCCTGGGATCTGGCATATGTCCCGCTCGGGCAAAAGACCCCTCCTGGCAGGCACGGCTCACGGCTTCTTGGATGTGGGGTTGGAGTCTTGGCTCCTGTGGCGTGGAAGATGGGTTTCCACGAAGGTGATGGAGACCTACGCGCAAGAAGCTTGGTCTTTTCAGTTCTTGCCAGGAAGCAGATTTGGAAAGGGGCTCGAATTCCCCCTTGAGCTCTCAGATTGGTTTCGTTGGCGTGAAGACATGGTCGCAATTTTTGTGGGCCCACGTGGCCGGAAGAGTCGCTCCAGTGCGGCTTCTGCCAGTGGTTGTGTGCATTTCCACAAAAACCAAAAACCGAGAGGCAAACATGTGCTTGGAAGGTCTTATAACAATGACATTAACAACAATATATGAGGACACTATTTATAAACAGACAAATGGAGCAACAAAGAATATTCAATGGGCAAGCAGCACTCCAAATTTACTTTTTCATTCCGTTACACATAGCTCTAGCTTTTGGATAACTTTGTTACTTAATTGCAAGTGGGACTTCGATGCTCAATCCGAAACCTACACTCAACCCAGGGCAAGATTATCAACTTGTTTGGGGCAGTTGCAGCAAGCACTTGCCAAGCAGCATGAAGGTGAACGATTACTGTAAGTTGTCACTGTGGTTTGATAAGTTTGATAGCTCCCCACCCTTGAGGACGTGGCCACGTGCAAGCGCAGGGTGAGTAATATGGATAGCTTGGCTTCGGCAATTGACAAGGTTGAAGGCGTTTCCTTGATGCGTTCGAGGCTGCAATTCCAGACCTGCTTTTGAGTTTGAAACGCAGGGCACTGCTGCTTTCCTGGATCAATCGCACATGATTTTCCATTCCTCTGGTACTGAGGGTGCGTGTCAAGCAATTTCTCATCAGTCGGACATGTGAACAGGCTTCACGAACTGCCGTTGATGCGCCAAATCAAGAACGTACTTGAGACGGAGGCTGGTGTTAGGGCCAAGTGTTACTTCAGGTTTCAATTTTCAAACATTTTGCGGCAAATGGTCTGGTCGACTAAGATCTTTCCCACGGGTAATGCTGTTTTGCAGCTTGATACAAAAATTGAATCGCTGAGTGTGTTGCCTTGAAGTTTTGTACATTTGTGACCGTGCGATTCTGCTTTCCCTTTGCTACAACATCATTTGACTGTCTGACTGCGCCCCGTGGTTCAACTTTCATCAGAGTGATACATTGAACGACAGAACGCATCTGCGATGCTTTGCGCTCCAAATATGGGTTGGCCGACCGAAATCAGCTGTTGAGTATGCGCCTTTGAACCATCATTCAGGTGATGTTGGCAGTTTTTGGCGCTACGCTGGCTTGGATTCCTTTGATGCAGAAAAACTCATTTGTGATCGAGATGCACCCTGGCCCTCCTGAAGGATTGACGTATCTTGGTTGGTTTGGCATTTCAGCTATGACAATGAGAAAGGATATGTTGTCAGTGAGGTGACAGTTGAGTCAGCCTACTTGTTCCAGAGTTAAACGCCACAAAGAAATGGCAAGTGGCTGTCCATCCAGACAGCCTTATACCTTGGGCCTTGACCTTCCTAAGGCTTTGGGGGAGTTGCTGGACTGCTCCGCCTGGCATCTTTCCCACGAAAGCTCTTGCATCTTGGGACGTGAACCCCAGACGCTTGCCAGGGAGTTGGCCGCTATGACACGTTGTCATAGGGCACGCGCCAGCGCTGACGCAAGTTCTTTTAAGAACAACAAGCGTGATTGTACGGAAACAGAAGCAACATGAAGCAACGCCTGCGTGTGGTAGAGCTGCAAGCTCAGCAAGGCCTTGGCTGGGCCATGTTTTTGTCTATCGATTGATCTACATATCTATCATTCTATCATATCCATATCTATATCTTTACCTCTTTCTCTATCTTTCTATCTCTTTATCTCTGTGTCTCTCTGTCTTTCAGTCTCTCTGTCTGTCTGTCTGCCTGCCTGCCTGGCTGGCCGGTTGTCTGTCTGTCTGTCTGTCTGTCTATCTGTCTATCTGTCTATCTGTCTATCTGTCTATCTGTCT